CAGATTACCTTGAAAAACATTGCTGCCGTATTTCTGATATAGTTTTTTGCAATTTTATCAGTTTTTAATAACAATTAATTTATTTTACTATTTTTTCTGTACTCCTATAACAACGCCAGACAACACCTCCAGAGGAATGACGCCAATTTTCAATCACCCTGTCTAACCTGTGGTAACAGTAACTGAATGTGTGTACGTTGTTACATTGTTGTTGTGTTGGGTTTTTACTTCCTTAAATATTACTTTATTATGTCTGAAAGTTTTATTAAAATCTGTTTATTAGTTGCTGTGTATTCCAAGTAAGAAGGGCAAAAAGGGACTAAGAAGGACTATCCATAAAACTCCGTGTTAAATCATGAAAATTTGTCTTATTCATATCTATTCTGATAGGTATGTACCATAGGTGGCTGAAATTTGATGAAATACCTTTTCCATACCTGTTTGCTAATTCCAAAGCATGTGAACTTCCTTAAGCATTCGAACGAAAAAATTACGATCTTTGCTTCAAACTAAGAAAAATTTTTATATTAAAAAAGTTCTCTTTCACAATTTTTTTATGAAAAGTCAAAGCGACAATGTTTTTTGGCATTAACAGATAGTTAGGTACAGGTAGATATCATTTGTCAAACTGTGACTTACTTTGAAGCTCCTTTCACAAATTTGCGTATATGCGATTAGTTCTGGGGAAATGTCGCAGCAAAATAGCAGAAGCTGTAAGAACTCACGCGAACAAAGGGCGAGAGGCACTGGAGATTGTCTCCAGGAAGATAGTGGACGACAATAGATCTTCGGGTTCTAGACACAGAAGAAAATGTATTGTAGCAGAGCCTTCCAGGGGTACTCGGAGCGTAATAACTCTTTCCCAAGCACCAAATAAATACCGAGGAAGGACTACATTCCTACTACGTATGTGAGATACACAGAGTACAAGGACACATTAAACCAATGACTTACTGAACACCAGTACAAATTGAGCAGGAATTAATTAACCGAATTAGAGAAGCTGCTTTCATTTTGAAACTTTTTTGAAACACTTCGTATTAATAGATATCAAAATTTTGTCGAAATTTCATTAAAGTTTTTCAAAACACATTTTTCCTCATACGAAAAATGAATAATTGTTTGAGTGGCCGCAATTGTCATTTTTTACATAAAATTTCAAATACATCAAAATCACTTTTATTACAGACTTAGCTATAGGTATACATGAAATATATTTAAAATTTGGAGTATAATTAAAAAATGTAAAAATATATAGGGTATACGATTTAAAATAAGCAAGTTGATACCTACTTCCAGTATAACCGAAAGTGTGGTCATCTTGAAAATATTTTACACCGCTTGCCCCCAATGACTTCGGCACACTGTCCAATAGGAACTTTGCAGATTTTTTTTCTTCGCTTATTCTGTTCAATTATGGTAAAGTAACCGTTCTACAATTTTATTTTTATTTCAATTTTCGTACAAGGTATATAAGCAATTTAAATTTAAATTTTTTGAAAGCTCATTTATAGCAAAATTATTTTTTCCCGATTTATTTTTCTTGCAGTGTATTAACATGCAACAAAACTTATATTCTTGTACATTTGCAATCAAAAATAAATTTTATGTAAAAAGCCCATTTTTAAATTTCTCCTAATTACAGTTTGCCAGATATGAATCGCTGCGGTGCCTGGTGGGACATCCTGTATATCGTCGCTATTAACTATTTGATAGGAACCTTTTTGGGTCACTGTTTAAGTATACCATATGTATGTCACCTGAATCACTTAAATGTCCTGTCACCTAACTCCTTTGAAGTACTCCATACAAATTCTCCGTTGAATTACTTACTAATCAAAATTAAAATAAAATTTCATTTTGTCATTTAAAAAAATAAATAAATGGACAGTCGTAAATTATTTTTGTACTACCCTGTATAAAAAAATCAAACATAATAAAATCGCATTTGCAAATAAAAATTGACGGCTTCGGGCTTTTTTCTAAAAAATAATCCGCTGAATTTTAAATAAATTTGCACATTACTACTGGGACTCACTCATGTTTGTTCTGCCCGGCTTCAGCTCCCCCTAATTGAAACAAACGAAGCGAATTGCCGTTAAATAAAACACCTCCAAAGGGTCGAAAATAAAAAGAGGAATTTAATTAAAATTTGCACACGTCACGGTCGTATTTCGCAATAAAAAAAATAAAACAAAAGAATTGCTGCGATACAGTTTCTTTAAACTGGATACTTTAAATCAAGCTCACTTACAATAAATTCTTGAGAGAGGCTTTCTTTTCTGGGTATTCCTGTTTAATTAATTCTAGGTTTAATAATTACTAATTCATTTGGTATATGGGGGTAGCCGAAAGCGTGTAATCACGTTATTGTGCCCTCATCTCGAGCAGCTTCTGGCATTCGATTAAGTAGCTCGTGCTCAAGTTGTACCGGTGTTCCGTAGATGAGAGATTTAATGTGTGCAATGCTCCGAATACTCCTGGAAGGCTCTGCTGCAGATAAACATAGAACGTGAGATTGAAATGCTTTGAAATGGGTCAAAAATACCTCCTATGAAAAATTTGGTTAAACATTTTGGTGATTGGCGGTGAAACGAAAATCGTAGTTACGAACTGTGGGTTTGAAAAGAACCGCTCTGAACTGTGTGCTCACAAGAGGACAGAGGTGTTCGAAGTTTCGCGCGTTTGCCAAAGATATATGTGGCCATGTAATCACGTTATTGTGCACTCTTAGCAGCAATACTGGGCTCACTCGTGCTCAGTGATTGAAACGTTGCGAAGTGTCAGTTGTTTGTACAATACCTACTCCAAGTACTTCTCGAAGGCTCCGCTGCTATTCTCTCTAATTGCTGCTCCTCCATGTCTGGAACCCGAATATCTATTGTTCTTTGTCGTTCACTATCTTCCTGGAGCCAATCTTTCAGTGTCTCTAGCCCTTTGTTGGCGAAAGATATTACAGCTTTTGCTATGTTAATGTGGCCATAACCCACCCATAACTAATAGCAAATCCACATATTCGATATTAGTGTACATTTTGTGAAAGAAGCTTTAAGTTAAGTGACAATTTGACATATGCTTGTTATTCTTGACAAAAGTTATCTACCGGTAACGTCCTGATAATGACAAAAAACATCATTGCTGTTGTCCCTAAAAAATTGTAGAAGCGTACTTTTTAATATGAAAAATTTTCATAATTTGAAGTAAATATCGTAATTTTTCTTTTCGAA